ACGGAGGAACCTGGTGGGCTACAGTCCATAGGGTCACAAAGAGTCAGACATGACTGAGCAACTTCACTTTCACTTTCATGAGGAAATCAGCACTACTAATACATCATCATTTTATAAACAAGAAAACTGAGGCCCAGAGAGGTGAGGTAATTTGTCCAAAATCCTATAGCTAGTAAATGGAGGAGGTAGAATTAGAACTCTGACTCTAAGTCTCCTGCTCTCAGCAACTCTGCTATTATTCTGGTCCAGCTGCCTATCAACTTCTTCCTAGACATTGATTCTGAAGACAAGATCTTGCCCTCATTATGAGTTCTGGCATGTCCAGAGTCCTTGTCTCGTAGACGCTTGGTTGCGGAACTTTCTCATTGTATTTGTACCGTGAAAAATGAACTGAGCCAGTTTGAATGAGGAGGGGTGATAAAACAAAGCATATTAGAAACAGGAACTCTAGCCATTTCTGACAGCTGGGTAGACAGATACATTTAGTGGAGGGAACATTTCTGACCGGGACAAGATTGCTCTTCAGGCTGTGAGGTGAACTAGGGACCTTTAGACTCCAACCTGCCTGTCACTAGACAGAAAAGTATGACCCCTTCCCCCATTCTCTACTGCTTAACATGACGAGTATGTCTTCAATTGCTGAAATGTGGCCGATTCTGTTACACTGATGGTATATAACAGGGTGGAAGCATCCTTTTCAGTTCCTGTGTATTTTTCAAAAAATAACATATTCAGTTACTCAGTGATAAGTTTTGAAAAGTTATCTGTGACTTCACAGCAAGAAGAAAGACTGATTTTTGAAGTTTGAAAGTATATTTATGAGGTAGAAAGTGAAAAGACAATTAACATTGGTTCTATAGTTTAATAAATCCTTCTGGATAATCTCTACTTTGTAACCTATGTATCCTATGTTAAACCCTTATTCAGAGGTGGACAAGATAGGGTCCTTATAGGGTAACCAACTGGCTTGGTTTGCCTGGGACTGAGTGGTTTCCCTGGCTGCAGGACTTACAGGGCTAAAACTGGGAAAGACCTGGGCAATTTGAAACAAGTTGATTAACCTTCCTGTACCCCAAGGGGCTCATAGGCTAAAAATGAAGGCAGTTATACAAGTGTATGCAGCTATGAAATAGTGTGATATGTCAAATTATGTAATAATAATATATTTTACTTCCTTGGCACTTTCTTTGAGACAGTTACTGTTTAGAATAATATGTATCAGTTCATTGAATCCCACAACAGCTCTGTGAAATAAGGACTATTATCATCCTCACTTGACATAGAAATTGAGGCACTACTAAGGCACAGATCTAGATCTCAAACCCAGGAAATAAGGGTCTATATCTGATAAATTAATGTCTAGACACTGGTCTCAAATATTCAAAGCAAACAAGTAGCAAAAGGAATAAGTGATGAACTTTGTGGGTGACAGAGGTGGTTATGGGAGAAGGGGGTATGGGGAAATGGGTTAGAGAAGGTGGTGCCTGAGCAGGAATATAGGAAGGAAAGAAAAAGGCATTCTAGGCAGGGTGGGTCAGGTTAGGACATGAAGATGTGAGCCAGCGTGGTGTTGCTGGTAGATAAGTGTCTATAGGAGCTCTAATGGGAGTTTTCTGGGTTCTTACATGTTCAATGGCGCATTTCATCCACTGTTACAGGGCCTTGAGAAAGAAGCCTGGAGAAGTCATAGGGCCAGGTCATCAAGGACTTCACATGCCACGCTGAGGAGCACAGATTTCAACCAGTTCATAACAGGGAATCACCAGAGGATTTTAAGACAAAGCTGATGCTTGCACTTTTAGAGAATTTTTCTGGAGGCATCCAGAAGGGGAGAGGGTGGTGATAGGACTAGTGACACGTGAAAACCAAGGTCTTGAAGAAGTCCCTGTGGGAGCTGGTGACTTCAACTCCAGTGTGTGACAGAAGAGATGGAGAGGGCTGGGCAGGGTAAAAATGTGAAGAAGATAGAATGAACCAAGCCTGGTTAGTGATTGGATGGAAAGGCCAAGGAATTAGGACATTAGCTTCTATGTTCTTTGCTTGGCTAGCTAGGTACATAGTCCTTCCACCAATAATTTAAAAAAAAAAAAAAAGAAGAAGAAAGGAGGAAAAGTGGATTTAAAGAAGAAAGATGAGAGTCCAGCTTTCCACAGTGTGACTCTCAAGGGCCTAGAGGAAATCTAGATAATATTGTCTAATCCAAGCATTTCACTAAAAAATGAGGCAGCTTGTCCTAAAGGGTATTTAGTTTTCTGATCAAGAGTGAAATAATAATTATGAAGGAACCTCTTGGAGACAGGTATGAAATAGAAAGCAATAGAATTAATATAATATTAATGTAGCATTCTTTGGGTTTCTCCCGAGGTACAAAATATTTAATACATTCATTTATGGTAAGATACCAGTGACTTGGGCTCCCCAGGTGGCACTAGTGGTAAAGAACCTACCTGCCAATGTAGGAGATACTAGAGATGCAGGTTTGATCCCTGGGTTGGGAAGATCCCCTGGAGGAGGGCATGGTAACCCACTCCAGTATTCTTGCCTGGAGAATCCCCATGGACAGAGGAGCCTGGTGGGCTACAGTCCATAGGGTCGCATAAAGTTGGAGACAACTGAAGGAATTTTGTATGCACACATGGATCAGTGGCTTAACTTATTATCTGTCCTAAGAAATATCTGTGTTTCATAAAAGACAGCAATTCTTAACTGAATCCTGGATAAAATAATTTCATTTATCTTAGTCCTAGAGATGGATTTTTTGTTGTTATTGAGTAGATGAACCTGCTGCTGCTGCTGCTGCTAAGTCACGTCAGTCGTGTCCGACTCTGTGCGACCCCATAGACAGCAGACCACCAGGCTCCCCCGTCCCTGGGATTCTCCAGGCAAGAACACTGCAGTGGGTTGCCATTCCTTCTCCAATGCATGAAAATGAAAAGTGAAAATGAAGTTGCTCAGTCGTGTCTGACTCTTCGCGACCGCATGGACTGCAGCCCACCAGGCTCCTCCGTTCATGGGATTTTCCAGGCAAGAGTATTGGAGTGGGTTGCCATTTCCTTCTCCAGATGAACCTTCTAGAATACCTCAAATCATAATACATTTGCAGCTGCTAATTCCATGTACATGGGTACGGGGGTAATTTGAACGTCTGAAAGTTGTCATAAATTTATTACATGGATTTCTTTCATCCTTGAATTAACTCTCCCCAAGGATTTACATGTTTGTTTATTTCAAACATTTAAGACCTTCAGTATCTTGTTATCCAAGTATAAGAATAGAAAATCAGTTATTACTGTGCAATATAATGAAAAAATTATTTATCTGACCAATTTATTTGAATTTTAAGTTTTTTAAAAATGCCATTTTTCATCTCTATTTTCCCCTTCCAATGCTCTAAGTGTAATCTCTGTTAGATGAGGGAGGGGTCATGCATCTCCTCATCCCCACGTAAACTCTCATCTGTGGGCTTTGGGTACGCAGACTCTGGATTAAAGCACATTAATGGTGATCTTGATTGCCTATTGCATCCTTTAACAAGAAAGATTTAAGTAATAACTCATAGATACATTAATTGACCTCAGTGTGTCTTCTTTGAAACAACTAGGAATGGAAGGAGTGGAGGAATGGAGATTCAGGGAAATGAATTATCGAAGACACACACTTCATTGGGAAAATCAGTGAAAGGGACTGGCTTTCCTGACCTCTCGAGCCACTAAACAATGCTGTCTCCCTCCTGTTAGGATGCTATCATTTGCTGAAACAGCCAAATCATGCAGGAGAATGACCCTGTTCTTATGATTGAGTGGCCTGGGGATACTTTCTACTAGGCAAAAGGCCACCCATCTCTCAGATTTCTTAGCTTTGCTTTGTATTTAGAGAAACATGCTGTTCACTGTTCCAACATCATCCATCCTTGTCAGCACCCAAGGCCACAGCTTCATCTGAACAGCCAGTGATATACTGCAGAGAGAATGCACCAAAGACACCAAACTCTGAATGACATTTATGTGGACTCTGAGCCCACCAGAGATGGATTGATGCTGCCATAAAATCTTGCAGTAGCCAGGCAAACAAAAGACTAAGGAGAGATAGTGGTGATGGTGATGGTAGGGAAAGCAATAGTTTTCTCCATTCACATTCCTCCCCTGCAGAAATTGCTTTACATCTTATTTAGAACATGAGAAAATTAAATGAATACAGGGATTTTTGGGGCCCAGCATAGAAGCAAACTCAGCCTTGATTGTCAGTGGTACTTCCAGCTGCCTTGACTGGGCCAACACCAGCATAGGTAACAGGGCAGTCAAAATATTCCACTTTCAAACTTAAGACATCGTTCCAACTATATATGTTCATGGAATAAAAGACTTAAGAAACATGGGTGTAAAAGTGGCAGTGGATCAGGAAAGGGTTTGCATGCATGTTCACTGTGTCCCCTTGGCAGGTACCCTCAACATCCAATCATGATGTTATTTATGATCATGCCAACCCAGGATGGACAGAATGCTAACCTTCTGTTTTGGATGTCTAGCCTGCAAACGGGATTAAAGACAGCAATATGCCTACATTTGTATTCAGGATTATCAGCGTGATGGAATCCATCTTCACCTGATCCCACAGGTATTTTGTAGGTACTCAGGAACCTCAGTGGAAAATGATCTCACACAACAAGAGAATGGCAAATTTTTCACAGCTAATGCTTATCAGTTATGCAAGCACAGAATATCCTTAAGGTTGCTACAAACAAAATGCCCAGCTATCAGAAATGGGGCTTCCCTATCCCCATCTTAACCTATTCACATAAACAAGCATGTGTTATTGCAGAACCACTGTGTATGGCCTGTGTGCATTCTTCATGGACTGCCTGCAGCTAACTTTGGAAGATGCAAATTTTTTTTTTACATCATTTAAACCACAGCAACACATACATACATATTTTAAAAATAATCAGTAACTAAGAAAGCCTCACATGCACATGAAGAAAGACAACAACAAATTGGACTTACCAGTTTAGGTTGTTTGAGGCAGCAGGGAAGCAAGTTGCTGGTAATTGTCCAGTGCTTTCATTCAATAAATCACATTGGCTCTGCTTTCTCCTGTGGCTCAGCCTCTGCGCAAAGCAAGCAAACCTCCTTCCTATTCTGTGTGAAGAGTAAAATGCAAGGAGGATCACTATAGGCAAGAGCCAAAGTTATGATCACTAAGGTAACCCAAAGCAAAAAAAAAAAACCAGCGATGTACGGGGAGAGGATGGGGGAAGGAGACAGCTTGGCTCAGAATCAGGTGTCTTCTCAGGACTGCAGCCCCGGGAGGGATTGATTTCTCAAGCCCTTGTGCACGTAGTGAAAGGATACTATGACTCCCGTGCACCATCAGCCTATTGTAACTGTGAGGTCCATTAGGAATGGCCCACAGGGAAATAAGCTTCATGGCAAACAAGACTGAATCAGAACAGATTGTTACTCAAGGGTGAGCAGAGGGGTGATGAAGCAGCCAATTAGCTCTGCCCTGTACAAACTGCAGGGGAAGAAATCTCGTCTGGCATCCTGGAGCCCATCCAGCAGTCTGGGACTGCAAACGGTCCACAGCCTCCTGGGGCGAGATGCCCTCTTACCCCCACAGCTACCTGGGACCAGAAATACACAGGTGGTAGCCGTATCCCCTCACCTTGTGGCACATGAGCAATCCTTCTCCTAGTAGGAACAAGGGGCATCTTTAGAAAGGTCCCAATCCCCCTGGGGCTGCTCAACCAATGCCAGTTTTTGTCTGAGCTGGGTCTGAGAAAGTAACCAGCAGACTTGGGACTTAGGACACCCAAAGGCTCAGATTTTAGGAAGAAGATTCCAGTGCTTTCATTCCAGCCACATCTGGATGCACCTGGCTCCTTTCACAAGGTCATGCTTTATGTGACGAGTAAGACAGGTAGAGTGGATTTCCTAGAAAGCCACTTATGTAGGCATTTTTCATATTTCTCTCTGAAATAAAATGGCAAATGACCTCCACAGGCTGCTTGTTATGTTTAGGGAGGCTTTGTTGATTGAGAGCACACATGAATACGCACACACAGTCACACATATACACACATAGATACACACACACACACAAGTCCCTAGCAACAGCACTGAAAATCTTTCTAAAGCTCTATTCAGATTCTGTTTCTGCCAAATGAAAGCTTAGCTTCTGTAATGACTTCAGAAATAATTTTGGACCCTTTTGCTAGGCACTGACACTGGTCTGTGATTTATACCTGGAGTTCAATCAATTCCCCTATTTTGAATGTGATTCTACAGCAAATCAGGAGAAAGTATCTCAGTTATAAGCAAGAGAGTGGAGTGTTAATATATGTCCTGGTTATCAATTAGAATCCTGGGAATGACATCTTGTATTCTTGAAAGTCTTCCTGCTTTATAGAGACCACACCTCATCCTGGCAGCTTAGTCATCCCAACAAGTGGCTGTTCTGGGGCTGAGATCCGAGATAAGACTCAGTGACATAAAACCTGGGTGTCCAAAGGAGGATTTCAGTTTGGCTTTTTACAATAGTACTTTTTTCTCATTTGAAAGGCAAAGTCTCTCTCTGGATTTTTTTCTCTTTTTCTCTCCTTGAACTTATTTGTCCATGGAGCATTGATAGAAATAATTTAATTTGGGAATATGCATGCCCTTGAGGTTGAGAAGGAATTTTTTTCATCAAGGATTAGAAAAGAGTCAGGCTACCCTCTCACAGCTTAAGCCTAAATGACTGCCAGGTAAAACTTTACCCTTATCTCTAGGAGGGCTTTGATTTTTGATGCAGATTGACTTAAATTCCATCTGCTGGGGTAAGCCATGTGATTCTCAGTAATTCTACTGAGGTTAGGGGCTGCCTCACAGGGGTCATTAGTTCAATCTGTTATGCAAAGCTAAGTGGGTGATGCCTCCTATACTAGTGGCATTGCTTTTTGGAGCAAATGCTTGAAACTGAGTCATTTCATGAGCCTGTGTCTATTGAAAAGGAGAACCATTCATCCATTCATTTATTAACCCACTCTTCAACAGACATTTATTATTACTTAGGAGGCTAGATGCACTATGCCAAATACTTTAATGTTATGAAAAATTTATCAATAAATATTCACCCCCCCATCATACTTTTGCGAAATTCTCCGCAGTCTGGCTCTGCCTATCCCTGTAGCCTAATTTCTTGTTACCTTCTTACTTGACCTTTATGCTGTAACTTTTAAAAATATCTTTCAAGTCCTTGAACATGCAATGCTGTCTCTTAACTCCAGAATTCTACATATGATTTTTTTCTGTCTGAATGCTCAGTCCCTTTTGTCTGGCTAACTAATGTATGGTTTTAGAGTCTCAACTCAAACATCATCTCGCAGGGATATTTTTCTAGTCCCTGAGCTTTTAGGGTTCCTGCTCTGTGGTCCTACAGCACTTTCTATCCTCCCATCACAATTTTTTTTTTTTCCTTTACTTGTTTGACATCAGTCATTCCCATTTTACTGTAAGAGTTTAAATGCAAAGTCTTTTATTCACTGCTCTATCTCGAGTGTCTTGCAGAGTTCCTGGCCTATAGAAGGTGTTCAAAAAATACTTAGAGAGGGTTTTGTTGAAGCACTTAGCGTGTATTTATTGAATGATGAATAAACCATTTTAAGAATAACAGGGGTTTGAGAATTGAAAGGAATCCTAAAGTTCACTTAGTATGTGTAATTTTTCTTGCCAAGTGGCCATCATTGAATACTTGTCTTCTCTGATTATTCCTTCTCTATTAGTCCAATCACACATTTACTTTGTCCCATACCACGCCCAGCACTTTCACAGCATGTTCTTGCTTTTTGTTCTCCAGCTGTTTCCTGGAGTTTGTCTCATCCCTACAAACTGGTATTCTTCATAACACCTGACAAAAGCCTGCAATTATTTGATGCTGATTCATTCAACAACAAACATCTGAACAGAGAGTTAAATGATCAGAGTCCCGCTTTGGGAAGGTTACTCTGGTATTGGGGGAAGGATGGGTTGGATCAGTCAGACCTAGTAATGACCACAGCCCAGAGATAGCATTTAAAAGCAGCCTTGTTCTTTCCTGGGTTTCCCTGGTGGCTCAGCTGGTAAAGGATCTGTCTGCAATGTGGGAGACCTGGGTTCAATCCCTGGGTTGAGAAGATCCCCTGGAGAAGGGAATGGCTACCCACTCCAGTATTCTGGCCTGGAGAATTCCATGGACTCTATAGTCCATAGGGTCACAAAGATTTGGACACCACTGAGTGACTTTCACTTACTCTTTCTTTTCCTCTACCCCTCCTCCATCGCCCCACCCTCCATATCATAAAATCACAATTTTCTTTTGGAACACTGAGAATGTTTGGTCCATATTGAGCACTTCCCCTCCACCCAGTTCCACCCCCACAGTTAGTTCACTTGCTTAGGTCATTCATGAATGTGTCTCACTGATTAAAGCTCCTTTGAAGACAGGGATTGCATTTTAACTTATTTTTAAAATTTTCTTCCTCCAGTCCTTACCCTGCCTGGCCTAGTGTCTTATAGATAGTAAATGCTCTATAAATATTAAGAGAGAAAGGCATTTATATGCAAAACTTTGGGTGGAACACTATGGTGAGGGGGGGTACCAAGATGAATGAGATATCTTTTGAAAGATGGAAGAGATCTATTTAGTGAGAGAGATGTGACTTATAATACAGGGCGGAATTAAATACACATCATAAAAATTATGAGCAATGTGCTAAGGGAACAGAACAATTATTACTTCCTTCTGGGATACATAGCAAAGATTTACAGAGAAGGTTGCATTTAAACTGGATCTGGAGGAATGAAAACCTTCAGACGTTGGAAAGAAGAGAAAGGAATGGAGACAATGCAAAGAATTCCTAGAATATTTGGAGATTGACAAGTAGTCCAGTTGGGCTGGAGTAAGTGGTAATGGGAGGACCCAATGGAATTTAAGTTTCAAAAGTAGGCAGGGGCTAAAGAGAGCACTCAAACACTGTGTTAAAGAGTTTGGACTTTATGTACAGTTGACGGAGATTTGAGCAGGAGAATATCAGTGCAGCTGACTAAAGATCCTTCTAGTCTAGCCATCGTGGACAATGAACTGAAGTGGTAAGAATCTGTAAGCAGCAAGACATTGCTGTGAAGGGTCTGTGGGTATACAAATTAGGAGATGAACACGGGACATTCTTTGGAGGTAGAGCTTATAGAATTTGTCAGCAGTACAGGTGGAGGAAATGAGATGGCGAAAGAAGCTGAGTTTTAACTTGCATGATGGCAGATAATGATGGCATGACTCAATCCCAGTAATCAAACATAGAAATAACTTAGGCATTCATGTCATGTTCTGAGCACATTTTGAACACAGAGAAGAGAGCGGGAGACCAAGTCTTTGGAGTCAGATGAACGTGCTTAGGTGGCGTTGAAGAAACCATTCACCAGCAGCCAAAGTTGCAGGCACTAGTGGTAGAGAATCCGCCCGCCAACGCAGCAGACGTAAGAGTGGGTTCGATCCTTGGGTCGGAAAGATCCCCTGGAGGATGGCATGGCAACCCACTCAAGTATTCTTGCCTGGAGAATCCCATGAACAGAGGAGCCTGGAGGGTCACGAAGAGTCAGCAACAACTGAAGTGACTTAGCACGCATGCCTGCAAAGATCCAGGGCCATTTGCAAGGAGATGGGTGTAGAATTCCCTTGAAAGAAGATTTCCCAATTAAATGTGAGGGTTCGCAATTTCCCATCTCCGAATTATTTAGCTCAGTGGAAAGAACCCTGGTCTGGGGTGCAGACTTTGAGCTTGAGCCGTGGAGCTCTCCTCACCAGCTGTGTGACCTTGGGCAAGTTACTTTCTATTGTGAGGTCTCATTTTTCCCACTTGTAAAATGAGGGAGTTGGGCCAGTTAAATTGAAAGGTTCCTTTTAGTACTCTACTGTTCTCTGATTTGTGAAGTGCAACGTTTAGAATTTCAGAACACTTGTGAAATTAGGCCAAAACCCACCAACATCAGAAGCTTCTAATGTCCAGTCTCTCCTGCAAAAGCACGCCCATATTTTGAGAATGTCCATTGCAAATACACGTCTGCCTTGCGGTTAATTCCATGTGGTTTGTTTGTAAGACATAAATTTAAATTGATCACTTTTTGATGACCATTTTCTAACAATTTTTCACTTTTTTTTTTCCCCCAGCAAAGATTTTTTTTAACGGGGTGCCTTTTCATCAGAGTCTCAAAATTAAATTATGGGAAGAAAGCGGCAGTCCCTTACTGTGGTCAGCAAAGAGTTTGGCCAGCCTACTTCCGCTCCCTAATCTCCTGACCTTCCTTAGGGCGCGGCTGCTCAGTAACGGCCCTGATTCTTTTTTCAAAAATAAAATGTGCTACTTATCGAAAGCTGCTAAAAAGGAGACCAAAAAAAAAAAAAAAAAAAAATAGGAAAAGAAAACTAACACCCCGGGGTGTATCTGAACATGCTTATTATGTGTGAAGTTGTTAGTAATGAATGTGAAACTCTTCCTCCTCCTCCCTCTCAATTTCTAAGCCCCAAAGAAAAAAGAAAAAGGGATGGGGGAGGGCATTGGCTATTCAGTCCCAAGCAGACCTTTTCAAAAGGTGCAGACTGTTCATAGGCATGGTATTTCTTGATTATTTTGTTTTAAGCAACAGTTGACCTTTCAGACTAAAAGTAAAGGTCCTCAAATATCCTGAGATACCCTCT